ATGGGCTGCAAGATGGGGGAAAGCCAGCAACACCACTACCTTCGGGGTTCACTGTGGAGCCATGTGCTGATGAGGAGGTAGTGGGTGATAGTGACAGGAAGCTGTTTCATTCGATGGTTGGGTCGCTGAATTATGCTGCAAATCATACACGGCCTGACATTGCATTTGCTACATCACGGTTGGCTAGTGTGGTCTCACGCCCTAGTCATGAGCAGCTGGAAGCGGCCAAGAGGTTGGTCCGCTATGTGAGTGCTACGGCATCAGTGGGATTGGAGTACAGTGGAGTGAGGCAGCGGTTGCAGAGAGGTGCTGCAGATGTGAAGAGTGGAGAGATGCTCTTGAGTTGCTATACTGACGCTAGCTTCAACTCAGTGAAAGCGGATGGCACCAGCATTGGGGGTTATGTGTGCTTGCTAGGAGGTGGTGCTGTGAGCTGGCGCAGCAAGAAGCAAAATGAGGTGGGATTGTCTTCATGTGAGACTGAGTACATGGCCTTACACCATGGGGCCAAGGAAGTGGTATGGCTGAGGCGTTTGTTGGAGGAGTTGGGAGTTGGTCAGGAGAAGCCGACAGTTGTGTTTTGTGACAATGAGTCCGCTGTGAAGCTCGCCAAGAATGCTTGTCTGCATGGGCTGACAAAACACATAAGGCCTAAGTGGCATTGGGTGAGGAGACTCCTTGATAAGGAGGTGCGGCTGGAGATAGTGAAGACCCATCAGCAGGCAGCAGATATTTTCACTAAGCGTCTGGCGGAGGCGGATCATTGGAAGGGCATGAAGCTTGCTGGGATGAGTGTGCATTGAGTATGCATGCTTGAGATGTGGTATGGTCGATGATGGTTGGCAGCCAGAGGGGGAGATTGTTGTGTGATGTCATCATATGCTATCACATTCTGTCTGCCTCCCATCCCATGTTTTTTCAACTTGCATGTGTGGTTTGAATGTGCAAGCATTTGTGTGTGGTGTGTTCTGGAGTTTGGGAATGTGTTTTGTGTTATTCTGTCTGAGCAGGTATTTGTGATAATAGATCTTGAGAAGATCTTTCCGACGCAACAAGAATCGCTTCAATCGGAGCAAGAACGCGAAAGCTATGAAGATTCAAAGTTCATGAGCTTGCGTTACAATTGCGGCGGTTACTAAGTGAAGTTGTGGGGTGACTTTATATGGAGTTGGGACCTTTGGGGTTGGGGAAACTTGTCACTCTACTGTAACAGCTGCAAATTGGTTGGGAACAACCAAGCTAGGTTGGCAAGGGTGGCCAACTTGGATGGATTGGTTGGGAAGGGACAAATGTCAAAGTTGGGGTTCCTATAGGGAGGGAATCTTTGTGCTTATGGGGTTTTCCTTGGTTGGGGACTCTCTTGGGACCTTCCCTCTCATCCCTCTCTTCCTATCCCAACCTTTCTCTTGCTCCTTCTAATTCCTTGTGAGATTCTTGAACTTTGATTGAACCTTTGAGATTGAGTTAAGTTCTCCTCCTACAGCTTACCCCCTAATGCGTCGAAAGCCATAGCGTCGCGAATACTTCATCAATCAACGTGATTCAAATTGGGAACGGTAGCTGAGATTAAGAGCTACAACATATCCAAGTTTCGCGACATTCCAACGGCTAGTTTTTCGTCGACGTCGTTTCTTGTAAAGACGACTTTTCTGTCCAGAATTTCGGATTTATATTTTGAGTAATTCTAGCTCCTAAGTTCACCTAGACTCCGTCCTTAATCCTAACAAGAGGTAAAGCACCCCTCCCCTCCGGTATTCTTAGGCCAATGACCCCGATTACGTTGGCTTACCGTCGTTTGGGGCAACCGAATGCCCCAAGCCAAGGGTTGGGGAGAGGTAGAGCACCCCTCCCCTCCTGTATTCTTAGGCCAATGACCTGGATTACGTTGGGTTACCGTCGTTTTGGGCAATTGGATGGCCCATGCCAAGGGTTGGGGAGTGGTGGAGCACCCCTCCCCCCCCCCTGTCAAACATGTATAGCTGGTGGGTTGCCTCATGTATCTGATGACTTGCACTCGCCCAGATCTCGCATACCCTCTCAGCATCCTGGCGCGCTTTGTGGCCACAGGCAGACACCGACCTCAGCACTGGTCTGCCGCTAAGAGGGTTCTGCGTTATCTTGCAAGTACATCGGTCATGGGGTTAGTGCTAGGCGGACGCAGGCCGGTGGTCCTGACTGGACACACAGACGCTTCTTGGGCAGACGACGCCGAGACGCTCAGGTCTTCCCAGGGCTACTGCTTCAGCCTTGGCTCAGGTGCTGTCTCGTGGAGAGCTACCCGCTCCTCGTCTGTTGCCCAGTCCAGCTGTGAGGCTGAGATCTACGCCGGTGCCATGGCGGCACAGGAGCTCCGCTGGCTGACCTTCTTGCTCGCTGACTTAGGTGAGCAGCCTAGCTCTGCCCCGGTCCTGTACGCTGACAACAGGGCCATGATCCTCCTGTGTCAGGAGCCTCGATTCGAGGGCAGAGCGAAGCATATCCAGCTGCGGTACTTCCTCCTGCGCGAGCTACAACAGCGACGCCAGGCTCGCGTAGTACACTTGGCCTCAGGTGCCAACACAGCTGATATCTTTACGAAGGCACTTGCGCCTAAAGATCATCAGCGGCACTGTGTACAGCTTGGTCTAGTTCCTGTAGTCTCTGACTTGCTTGGGCCTTGACTTTGTACTGTCCTATATATATGTACACTCTGACTGGACTTGTGTCCTCTCACAGTGGTTGGACTAGTAGTGCCGCCCTGTACTTGTTCTTACCTTGTCTGTACTCCTTCTGACTGGTCTTTTAGACCCTTGTCTCAGAGGCTGAACTAGTAGTGCCACCTTGTGTTGTTTTGTCATGACCTGCCCCTATGCAGTCTAGGGGGTGTGTCAAACATGTATATCTACTATGTTTGCATAGACTGAATAGAGTCATGTCTTATATAGGGTACAACTCTTAGGTATATTCACATGTTCTCTCTCTTTTAATTCATTTTCTTCTACCCTGATACCCCCCCCCTTATTCTTAGGCCAATGACCTGGATTACGTTGGGTTACCATCGTTTGGGGCAATCCGATGGCCCGTGCCAAGGGTTGGGGAGAGGTAGAGCACCCCTCCCCTCCTGTATTACTAGGCCAATGACCTGGATTACGTTGGGTTACCGTCGTTTGGGGCAATCAAGTCCCCGGTGTTCAAATTATATTTTATATAATTGTTAGGCTTGGTAGGTTACCGAACCTTACTGTAGAGGGTACAAACCCCTCCTTGTACTCTCTCTCTCTTCCTAATCTATCCCTCTTTTCTCTCGACACTCTCGCCTACTCTCCTAGCTAAACCCTTGGCCGCCATTTCATGGCGGCCTCCTCTTTTCTTCCTAGTTCAGATTTCAACATGGTATCAGAGCGGGATGCCCTTCCTGGGCCTGCTCCCCTCCGTGCTTTCTGCTGCGTTCTCGTGCGTTCGTCGCTCCTGCCGTGCCCCCGTGGCGGCCATGTCGCATGGCTGCCACGTCGAGCAGCCGTGCTGGGCTTGCCGCCCTGACGTGGCGGCTCCGCCGTTCTACCTCCCCGACGCGCCCCTCCTGGGCCCTGCCGTGCCTCCTAGCCCAGTCACGCCCCTCCTGGGCCCTGCCGTGCCTCCTAGCCCAGTCGCGCCCCTCCTGGGCCCCGTTCCGCCTCCTCCTCCCGCCAGTAAGCGCCGCGCCTATGGCGCCGCGCTGAAGTCCTGCAGCCCCACCACAGCAGCCCCACCACCTCTCCCTCCCCTGCATCTCCTCTTGCTCCTACCGTAGCTGCTGTCTTCGGCTCAGTCGTCGCCAGCCCGTGCCACACCGCCGAGAGCCCTCAGCCGCCGCAGTCGCCGCCTGTCCTCATCGACACAGCCGCCTTGAGCACGAGCTCCGCCGCTGTCGTCATTGAGGCCGCCCAGATGCGGCCAGCTGCCTCTCGACTGGGGGTGTCATAGCCTAGCACGAGGGGTCGATACCCGGCTGCTCACGAGAATGAGGGTGTCCGGGGTTAGGGGGTGTGTGTGTGGGTTGTGTGGGCTGGCCACTACCAAGCCTAGGGGGTGTGTTCAAATTATATTTTATATAATTGTTAGGCTTGGTAGGTTACCGAACCTTACTGTAGAGGGTACAAACCCCTCCTTGTACTCTCTCTCTCTTCCTAATCTATCCCTCTTTTCTCTCGACACTCTCGCCTACTCTCCTAGCTAAACCCTTGGCCGCCATTTCATGGCGGCCTCCTCTTTTCTTCCTAGTTCAGATTTCAACACCCGGAACCCAAGTGATGGAATCTATCCGGATCGGACCCCGGATGGGTTTGATCGAACCCATTCGGATGGAACCCATCCGGATCTGGATCGATCGAACCCATTCGGATCCGAGTCGATCGAACCCAGACTACTTCGAGATTCACTACTACGAGACATCCACCGAGATTCAGTTAGAGTGTGTGTACTATTTTTTTGTGTGCTTATCTAGAATGGGGAAGAGTGTAAGGAATGAGTAATTCCTTACTGAGGCTTGCTACAGGGCGTACGACTCGAACAGTCCCGAACCATCGTCAGGGTTCCAGACCTTTAAGTTCGAGCCTTCTGGGCCTTTCCGGACCTCGCTACGACACATCGGGACCCTTCGACACTTTTCCCGAAGCTTCCGATCCTACGTCCAGGATCACCCTAGGCTTTCTATATATTGTGTGTTCTTTCATTTTATTGTGATTCACTCGTTCACAGTTTCGCCATTGCCCTCCGCGCTACTCGGCAGTCCCATTCATAACACTGCCGAGTAGCGCGGAGGGCAATGGCGAAACTGTGAACCAGTGAATGACAATAAAATGAAAGAACACACAATATATATAGAGCTTAGGGTGATCCTGCATGATGTGTCGTAGCGAGGTCCGGAAAGGCCCAGGAGGCTCGAACTGAAAGGTCTGGTTTGGTGATGGTTCGGGACTGTTCGAGTCATACGCCCTGTAGCAAGCCTCAGTAAGGAATTACGCATTCCTTACAGGCAGTCCCATTCATAACACCTACTATGATCGGGGGGATCCATCTGGTTGTTACTAAGATACATTGTGTACAACTTCACCCAGCTACCTGCACTAGATGCACACATCCCATGGAGCAACCAGTAACAAGATACTAAAGGTGGTATCTTTGAGTTCTAACAGCTAGATCAAGCATAGCGCCAGACAACACCTACAAAAGCAAATATATAGCCAACCCGTATCAACAGTGCGTTTTGGGAATGTTGCCGCGCTCATACGAGCGACAGCGAGCTTCCGCCTCCGGGCGGTTGGCGCACGCCAATGCAGCTGCGGATGTTGAGCTTCCCGTCCGCGAAGATGTCTTCCCCCTGCAGCTCGCGGCGCTTCGCCGCGCTCAGCTGCTGCATGCCCGAATCCGTCGGCTCCATCGTCCCGCGACCCATCAGATCGATCATCTTGCGATCGGACGGTCGACGTTTCGGCGGGCTGGGCGGGGTGTCGCCACCGAATACAATAGAGCTCGCACCGCCAGGAAGCTGCGAACGGAAATAAACGCAGAGAGAAAAGATACCACTTAGCGTGACCAACTCACAGCATGCCACACAGCACCAGATGGCTCGTGAAACAAAACTCTTGCACCACCAGAAGCACAAAAAAATCCACAAGCTCGGGTACTAGTCATCAAGCACATGGAGCTGACCTGGTGCACGGTGATGGAGGGGCGGACGTCCTCCACCACCTCCTCGCCGTAGAGCGAGATCGAGCCGTACAGGTCCTTGAGCTTGGCCTGGCAAAGCGGGCGGCGCTTCTCCTCGCTGTCCGCCTCGCAGCTCAGCGTGCCCATCAGGTCCGTCAGCTTCTGCGGGCACAGCGCCTTCGTCGGCAGGTAGTCCTCGTCGCCGAAGAGAATCTGGCTCTTGCCGCCGGCGGGCTGAACGGACCGAGAAAAACGGGGTTGACGCAAAAGGGAGGAAGATGAATGAGGAAGGGGTGTGTTAGCCGATGCTCTCGGAAAGTGGATTGTTTGAATGAGTCGCTTAATGCCAGCGAATGCGAATCCGAGGAAACTTCACGCGGGAAAGCTCTTTGGAACCGAACGGATATGCGCCGACAGCTAGGCTCTTCGCAGGAACAGAATCGACAACACTGTGACCGGATCGTAACAGCGCACCCGCGCCCACTGTAGGCGCTGTCATCACGGTAGGGGCTGAATGAACCGTGGGAATTGCGCGACGCCGCTCCTTACTTGGTGGAGGCGCACGCTGGGGCGGTCGGTCTGGTCGGATGGCGTGAAGATGTTGTCCGACGCTGGCGCGGGCTCCGGGGTCCTGGAAGCAGCAGAACCGACGGACAAACAAACGGCAGGGAAGGGCATGGGAGTGAGCTAAGGCGACCAGCACGCAGACAAACATGAAAATGAAGACCTCACAGGGTAAGCGGGGAGGCGGGTGGAAGAGCGACAAGGGGATCAACTCACCCGGTCTGCTTGGTGTCGGCCTCCACGTGTGCGAGGACCACTTGGCTCTCGAAGTTCTTCTGCTCGCAGGGAAAGCAGGGAAGCGGGGATATCGGGGAAAACGGGGAAAGAGGATGAAAGAAGATTCTCAGGCTTAGTGTGAGGAAAAAAATAGTCAGCCAACAGGAGACGCACGATGAGTCTCTCAAGGTTCTTCTTGAGCTCGGAACCTTCACCAGGCGGAACGCTCGGTGGTCACTTCGACAGATGAACGATACGGCAAGTGTCACATGAAACGGCACCACGGGCCAGCCCTATTCGACAACTAGCGCGGAGTAAAAATTCCACATGGATTACGCAAAAAAACCTTTCGGCCTACCTGGCTAAGGCGCTTGATACACTTTTTCCCGCTACCGAGCACATCGGGAACGCTGACGTCGTCGCCGTCGCCGTTCCAGTTGAGCACATCGGCGGTGGAGTCGCCGCCAGGGGGCTTGACAACTCTGTTGACTACTGTCATGGTACTATTCGGGAACGACAGATGGCTAGGAAGAGGCGAAACGGTAGAGAGATTTAATCTGGAGCTTCACTGTGCCAAAATAGGTGAGCGAGGAATATGTATCGCTGTTATCGCAGAGTATGAATAGCGCAGCGCTGATGAGGAATGCCACCAGATTGGTGGTCTTCGTGCCGTGAGAAGGATAAATGGGGAGAGGTGATCGAATGATGTTCCAGGCAGTTTGGGATCCGTTTTGGTTGGAGACGCACGAGTTGGGGGATGGTGATGTTCCGCTGAACACACACACAGCACGCCGGCTTTCACACACCGCCGTCGACTGCACCAGACGAATTTCTGCTCTCATCGCGTGCCGTCGATTTTGCTCTTGCCCGTTTGTTGCTCTGCCTGTTGTCACGTTGATTCCGCTGAGCCCTCCAACCGTGATGACATGCGCGCCATGCTGCTACCTGGTCCACGAAATTGGATCCAATTGCGAGCCGCGTCCACGCGCCGCCTCAGCTGGATGGATGATGTTGCTCAGCTTTCCCGCGTTTCGCACCCAGGCCTTGGCGCAGAGCAAGGGCTGTTTCAAAACGTTGCAGGGAAGTTTGTGAGGTGGCCCTCACCGATTCCCCTTGGCCTCTGCCAACATGTCACAGGATATGCGATATGGCCATCAAGCGTTACAAGCATCTATTCGTTATGCTTGAACTTGTAATCACAAAAACGAGAAAAAGTAATCAGTATCAATGTCACATTCAGAATGACTTGTGTTGGGGTGAGGATAGCCCAAGGTCTTTGACAGAAACAAAGTCATTCAGTAGATAGAGTGCTTGTGAGCACAGCGGAAGTCTGAGCTGATTATAGCAAAGGGATACATGGTCCTGTATAATAATACTGGAAAGTATAAAAGGTTTGTCTAATTGTGCACTTCGAGGGGTGCATTTCATTTACGACTCAATAAGCATGACTCGAGTAACCACCAGTGCTGTAATACCGGCATTGCGTGACGGTAGGGGAGACGGTAAGGGTGAGCTTTAGTTGCAGCTCCCCTTCGAACCAGACGAGAATGGAGGTGGTCGAGCCGATGTCGAGGAGATTTTCGACGTAGACGATCAAGAGTATGGTGTCACCACTTCTGGAGAGGCAATACGTGCCTGGGCAAATCCCATGGCTGTAAGGATGCCGTGGAGGTACTGCTGTCACAGCCGTGGGGCCAACTTGATCTCGTAAAGGGATTTGATCAGCTGGTAGACGAGGGTGGGGTCGTCGACGTACGCGTGTGGCTGCTCGACGAAGCTGTCGGCATCGATTGGTGCATAACAGAAGGTCGTGGCGACGTCGATCTGGTGCAGGCGGAGCTTTTGAGCGGCGGCGACTACGAGCAGAATTCGTAGGGACTTGTGGCGGCTAACTGGGGCAAATGTTTCAGTGTAGCCGCGGCCGTGCTGTTGATCAAAGCCACGTACTACCCAGCGAGCTTTGAAGCGATCGATGGTATCGTCCGCCTTCGTCTTCACGAGGAAAACCCATTTCCCTGAAAGGATTGTCATCCCCGTTGTTTGCGATATTGGAATGAGTTTCCTTGCGTTGCGCTCGTGTAATGCCTTTAACTCCCTGTTCATTGCCTCCCGCCATTTTTCCCTGTGTGGACCCTCCTGTGCCTTTTTTTTACTGTAGACGGCTCCTCAATTTGCGGCGGTGGCAGCGGGTGCACAGCTGCGACGAGTCCCAGAATTTGAAGTCCAGTTTTGGTGATCGAAGGAGGTGAGGATGTTCGGGATAAGCTGTTTCGTCTCCCGCTCCTGGATCATACAGTATATGAATCTAGGTCCTATGTATTCCAAAACGTTGGTGTCAACACTATGTGGGGTAACGTAACAATTGTTGGCGAAGTGGTAGTATGCCTCTGCATTCGTATTGTCGCGACGGTTGTCATCAGCCATCTGGATGTCGACGGAGCAATGTGGCAGTGGTCCAGCTGTCGCCGAGCCTTCCGGAATATTGCGTTCGTCCAGGTCAGCCTCCTCTGCTGACAAGGCAATCACGCGTGCTCTAGTGAAGCCCCCAATGGGGTCCTGGTTGGATGCGACGTTATCGAGGTAGTGTTGCATGGTCAATTTTTTTTTGTAAAAGATAACGTCACGTGCTGCCACCATCTCCTTGTCTTCCATATAAAAAATCCTCCACGCGTGGTACTGTGATGATGCTGCTGCGGCTGCTGCTTCTGCCGTTGGTGCTGCCTGGGACAATTGAAGCGCGAATGGCCCGACGTGCGGCAGAGAGGACCGTACGGAGGTGCGTGTTGTTTCTGGTTGTTATGTCGCCCGTGTGTGTAAAACGCGATATGCTGATTTAGCTTCTTTGTGCCATGTCTTGAATCTTGATAATGAAATTGGAATTGCTTTCAGTGTTGTCCAAGTCAGGATCTCAACTAAAGGTGTTTTTAATACAGTAGGAACTAAGTCTTTGACTAGCTCTCCTACCATTTTGGGCTGAGGATAGCCCTAGGATCTTTGACAAAAACGAAGTCCTTGGGTAAATAGAGTGCTTGTGAGCACAGCGGAAGTCTGAGTTGATTATAGCAAAGGGATACAAGGTCTTATATAGTAATACAGGAGAATATGAAAGGTTTATCTAACAGTGCACTTCGAGGGGTGCATTCCCTTTACGAATCGATAAGCACGACTCGGATAACCACCCATGCTGTAATACCGGGACAGTTGTATGTCCTTGCTGTCATGGCGACTTCAACGTTTGTAATCCTAACAAGGCCCCAAGATTCATTTTTAGGCACGCTGATTTATCATCCTTGCCCCCCATACTTAGGCTGATTTCTCAGCCCCCCCCTGGAAAAAAAGGCTGAATGTTACAGCCTTGACTAAAAAAGTTTCGCTGAATGTTCAGCCTTGGTAAAAAAAAAAAAACTGAAACTTCACGAAGCCACTTTCATTATTGACAGTCATTACATTTTATCTTCGACGTCTACCTAAGCATCTAGTTTCCCCCCATCATCCATGGGGTCACTACAATCATCATCATCCACCTTCTCCTTGGCCTTCCTGCTCTGGGGACGGGGCCGACAGGTGGAATGGGGCCTCCTCCTCTTGTACGCCCTCCAGATCTCTACTACAGCGGGGTAATCCGGGGTATAGTCTAGCATAGACATCACCATGAGATCGCTAAGCCGGGCATCCTTGAGGCTGCCGCACTGACAGCTCTTGATCAGGTTCTGGCGGGAGAAGCCACGCTCGCACTCGACAGTGCTGAGTGGCAGCACGGCCACCGCCACCCACAACCCCACAAGATTGGGGTAGTGGATCTTCCAGTCGCTGGTCTTGAGCACAGCGGTGAGGCCGGCATAGAACTTGCGGTCGACGGTGGTCAGCCGTGCGAGCATGGGGGCGAAGTGGCGAATCTCCTTGGCCGCCTTCCTCTTGTTAATGCCTGGAGGGGGCGGGAAAGACGAGCGGGGGATTTTAAGAGGTTTGAAAGATAAGATAGTCCAAGGAATCTCAACATGCGTAAAAAGGGAGACGAAACACAAAGCAACTCAGACGGTGGACAGCACCTGGCAGAATCTCTTCACTGTCCTTCGCTTTGTAGAGCTGCACCTGCAGGTCAAACCACTCCAGGCACTGCTTCTGCCTGGCGGAGCGCTCCCAGTTCGGCGGCCAGGTGTCAGCAGAGAAGAGGCGACATCCCGCGAGCTGTTCCAGGTCCCCAAGACGCTCGTCCAAGCCCTTCACCAGCCCCTCAGCAAAGGCCGTGCAGACGTCGACACAGGCCTCGTGTGTTCCCTCCCCGGGGTAGCCGTCGATCTCTTCAAAATGGAGACTTACAGTGATGCGGACGGGACGGCCATCAGATGCAACTCCGTCAACGGTGACTTCTGGAGTATTGTTCGGGCCGTGGCGGGTGAGGAACTGGCCGAGCCGCGACATCTCAGTGCCGCCAAAGTCGTCGCCGCAGTCGACATACCGGCTCTCCAACAACCCGGTAGTCTGCGCGATCTGGCTGGCGACGGTCGCGTTGTCCAGCTGCGAGGAGAGGTTTTCACGGGGCGAAGGTGGGTGGGGAAATAAGAGACAGGATAACATGATAAGCATATGCACGTGCTTGAGAAAGACGCACCTCCCGCTGCTGGAACACCTTGTTGAGGATATTGAGCTGCTCAAGAACATCAGCCAGAAAGTGCAAAAAGAACCAGAAACGATAGCTCCGAACAATAGCCAGCAACTTCGAGTTCCTCAGCTTCGTGACCATGATCAGCAGAGCTGGTAGCACATCCAAAAGACGGAAGATCGCCTCACCGCGAGAGAGCCATCGGATGGCGTGGATCCCCTGCACCTCCAAGTTGGTGTCGTTGAACATCTGCTGCAGGTCCTTGAAGCGTTGATGCCAGGGTCCATAACGACCGAGGAACTCTGCAATCTCCTTGATGAAGTCGTCGACGATGCCGAAACTCTTCATCTCTTCCGCGGCATCCTTGGCCGCCAGCGCCCCCCTGCAAGTACAATACGGATGTGTTAAAATACGTCATGCGGGTATACGAAAGCGGGAAACTCCTGAATAGCACTTACCGATAGGCGATGCAGTGGCATGACACGAGGTGTGGGACAAGCACTCTCAGTCGAGCGACAAGGCCACGCGTCTTCCCGAGCATGACGGCAGAGCCGTCAGTACTGATGCCGGAGATTCGGCGTAGATCCACACCAATAGCATGGATGTGGGACAACAACAGCGAGAGCAACGAGGCAGCGTCAGCCCTGTCAACTGTGAGGAGCGCAAGGAGTTCCTTCACTTGACGGTTCTCCCGAATGAAGGTGGCAAACACAATCATGTGTTTGCCACGACAGCGGTCGGTGCTCTCATCGAGACTGAGGCCGATGAAGGGGCTGGCTAGGAGGTGTTCGAGCTGAGTGGTCTGGAGCCATGTCGCGAGGGCTTGTGTGAACTGGCCGAAGCCATACCTGCCATGGTATCACCAAAAGAGAGATAAGGACGTGAAAAAGTCGCGAATGCAGGTAAAAACTAAACACGGTCGGAGACTTACGAGTTGTAGTATGTTCCGTAGCCTTGCTATGGAAAGCCGTGGAACTTCCGCTCCGACAGGTATTGCGTGAGACGAATCCACGTCTCCATCGGCTAGTTGCAGCGGCTGCAAAAGTAGAGCACGTCGAGCAATGAAGACACGTGAAGCAACTCCAGGTCTTGAGCGAGCGGGTGTTGGTCGATGCGTTGTTGGTTGGTCGTCATCTGCAGCAAGTCGATTTACTTGGCCACCGCGAGCTCATGTTGAGTAGTCGCAGCGTGCTTCTTGAACGCTTGGACCTGCACGTCGGTCACTCTGTGCCCGCTCCTGCCAGTTTTCCCCTTTAGACCTGCATGTTCGGTGCACATAGAGCACTTGAAAGCGGGCAGGCCGCTGTCAGTTTTTGTGATGAGCAGCCATGGATAGGCCTTAGACCTGCGGGATTGGAAGCGGTCCAACGCGTCGGCATATGTTTCTTCTGGCGTCAGCCTCTTCCGCCCAGCAGACGGCACCTCAGCCTCTTCCTCGTCGTCGTCGGAGTCGGAAGCGGCAGGCTCGCAATCTTTCGCCGGAGGTGCAAAAGACAGTCGTATCTGTCAATAACGGCCAGTCCGAGGGGTGGGCTTCGCGGCAGTCGGTGACGCTACAGAATCTAGTACAGAAGCTGGACGAGTGGGAGATGAAGATAAGAACGGGCTTGCAGGTCGCACGATACGATGTGCTTCTGGCGAAGGAGGGCGACTGGAACTCGGTTCATCGAGATGTGTTGGAAGCGGCGGTGCTAACGGAATACTACCGAGGGATGACCTGTGCGCATTTCGCGCTCGTCGGCGACCTGCCAGGCATCGTCGTTGCCTACGTCGTTGTCTCCACCCGATTCTGCCATGACGAGAGGAGCGGAATCAGGGTCCTAAACCATTACTAACAGGCGTCGAGGAAGAAATGACATTGCGGGCCAAGACAAGCCTACTTCCAGACGATGGAGAACACGCTGGAGTAGACGACCCCTTCTTGATGGGTGCAGGCAGCCATCAAGAACGCGGTGCGGTTCTGATGCTGCCCATGCAACGTTTGCGGGGGTACCCCCTTCTGGAATCTTCAGGTGTGCGCTCCGGGGGAGCATCTTTTCTGCACTGCTGTACCAGCGATTATGCAGCTGGGTCACAAAAAGCTCTGGCGATTGGTTTACTTAGCTGAAATTTGGCTAACACCCAATCACAATGCGCAGTCGCTAGTGTGGAGGGGAATCCGCGTCAGATGTCACGCCGACAGCCCAACATTGCAGCCACGCGGCGTGATTGACAGGGGTAAACCTGTCACTTAACGGTAATCGCGGGGGGCCCCCGAAACAAAATATACTCGGTTTCAACCTCCCCCCCAGGGAGTGCGCTGAAACCTCAGCCTACACTCTAGAAAAAAGGCTGAAAACATCAGACTAGGCTATAAAAAAAAGTCTTAAATCGACAGCCTTACCTATAATAAAAAGTCTTTCAGTTCAGCCTTGGTAAAAAAAAAAGCCCGAAAAAAGGTTGAATCAGCGTAAAAAGGCTGATATCTAGGGGCCTGATCATAACTGTTGAATTGTTGGGTCAACGTTCTGCGACCGTTGTCTTTTCGCAACCTCTGTTGGGTATCGTCGACATGTGTCAACCGTCAGATGGTACTATAGTAGGTTTGAGTCTATGATCCTCGATGTTGCGGTACTCGCGTATTTGTACAGCAAGTGAGACTCCTGAAATGCTTAAAGTCTCTTCTTCTTCTTCTTTGTTGGGCCTAATAATGGGCCAAGAAACAGCTAGGTTCGATAGATGGAATTTGCGGGCAGATGGTAGGGCGAATATGAGATAATGTTGATAATTGTTAGGAATACACGAATCACGCGGCCCAAGTGTAATGCATGACATGGTGACATCTGCAAAGAGAAAGTGTGACTATGCAAAGCAAAACAATTCAGTATATCAAACAGGTGTACCTTATATAAGTCTAAACCCTAGCAAGGCTATAGTTATTCCTAACATATATATGAATGCTAACACACCCCTTAGCCTAGGTAAGGGGCAGAGCCTAACAAGAAACAAAAAGCCAGGGCATCACTACTAGTCTGGCCTATGAAGAATGTAACAAAGCAGCTCAAGGCAGACTAATAGTGAGGCCAAAAAGCCAGTCAACAAGTATCACAAGGCAGCAGGTATAGAGTAGCTAAAACAGAGCCAGTATAGTATAGATCAGGTTATAAAGGAACAACAGTTGAGACTAGACCAAGCTGGGTACAGAACCGTTGATGGTCATCAGACCCTTGGGCCTTGGTGAAGATATCAGTAGTGTTGGCCTCTGAGGCCAACTGTACTACACGAGCCTAACTGCGCTGCTGCAACTCACGCAGTAGGAAGTACCGCAGCTGGATGTGCTTCGCCGTGCCCTCAAGGCTGGCCTCCTAACACAGGAGGATCATGGCCCTATTATCTCAAACAAGACCGGGGTAGACCTAGGCGGCTCACCTAAGCCGGTCAGTAAGAACGTCAGCTAGTGGAGCTCGTGGGCAGCTATAGCCCCATCATAGATCTCTGCCTCACAACAAGACTAAGCTACAGACGACGACCTAGTGGACCTCCACGAGACTGCACCCGCACCAAAACTAAAGTACAGTCACGTCGGCTCCCGCCAGATAGCATCCCCAGATCTTGAAAACGTGCACGATCGCCTGCATTTTTTTGTCCTGTAACTTTCGCGACTTGTACGCGATTGGCTGAAGGTCGTCGCCAAAATCCTGTAACATAACGGCTCCGATTGCGATGTCACTTGCGTCTGTCACGACCTCGAATGGTCGTTCTGGGTCAGCAATCCGAAGTATTAGTGGCAAGATTAAAACATTTTTTAATCCGTCAAACGCATCTTGCTGCTTCTCCCCCCACTAATAATCAACGCCTTTATGAAGTAGGTCAGTTAGTGCTCTAGTTAACCCCGCCATGCTGGGGATAAACCGGCGCACGTAATTGATGAACCCCAAAAATGATTGCAGCTCCTAGAGGCTAGTTGGCGGCTTCCATTCCTGAATGGCCCATATTTTACGGGGGTCAATTTTCACGCCTTCCGTTCAAATTACTTGCCCCAAAAACTCTAGTTCGGGTTTAAAAAACTCGCACTTAGAGCCTTTGGTGATGAGACGATTCTGATGCAGGCACGGAAAAACCGCTTCCAGGTCCTTTAAGTGCTGCTCTCGTGTTGTGCTGTAAATCAGGATATTATCTAGATAAATGATAACACATTTATTGAGTAGATCTCGGAATACCCCATTCATCGTCAGCTGGAACGTCGAGAGGGCATTCGTTAACCTGAACGGGATGACAGTGTATTCGTAACTCCTGAGGCGAGTAGAAACGCGGTCTTGTGGCAATCGTCGGCGAAGACTCGAATCTGGTGATAACCGCTGCGAAGGTCGATCTTCGAGAAATAGCGAGCGCCTCGCAGCTGTTCAATCAGTTCGTCCGCGTGCGGGATCGGGTAGCGAGATTTTATTGTAACCCGATTAAGGGCGCGATAATCAATGCACATCTGGAGGTCCCCATCTTTCTTGGGTGTGAACATGATCAGGGTGGCGAATGGGGACGAGCTCGGTCGAACGAATCCTTTGGCCAGCAAATAGTCCATTTGGTCCCGTAATTCCTGGAGCTCGGGTTGCACCACTGTGTCCGAATTGTTGGCTGCGCGCCAGGTTCCAGTTTGATCGAGTGGTCCTGAGGGCATTCCGGTGGTAGTCCATTGCATATTTCTTGAATCGGTTAACACAATGGTAGTTTAATTTGATGTTTTAGCAAACTATTAAAGTAGGGTTACAATTGGTGTTAGACTATTAAAAAAAAATAACTTTAAACAAAAGCGATTATGAGTAGCTGATTTATTTTGTGGAGCCCTTGATATTAACATATTTATCTGAATTTAACATTGCTTTCACATAAGTAATAATTTAATCATCTACTAAACTCATTGTAATTTTATTTTTTAAGAATATGAAATTCGTAAAATGAAAAGTTACGGTATGCTGTGTTCACAAGAAGAGTTGTTGATTGGCTCAAAATCAAATAGTATTATTGAATTACCCAAGAGCGCAAAAGTCAGAGTACAATTTGCTGAGTATTATGGTCTTGATGATCCAGTTATTCATATTGAGGTCACTCCTAACCGCAGTGATGCTCATGGAGTATATGGTATTGCAAGAGATCTTGCTGCAAAAGGCATTGGATAGCTAAAACAAATAGAGCTACCTATTATAAAAGCTGATTTTCATTCTAAGTTTTCAATAAAAATAGATCGTCTGGGAAAATATCTGGGACTTGACGAATCAGTTTGGCCAGATCTTCAGGGACTGCTACCCAGAGTTTGTCGATGTCGGCTGGCTGCTCGTCGTCCGTTGATTCCTTCAGATGGACGGCGTACAGGTCTGCACCTTTCTTGACATCGTAATTGCGATGACGTGTGTCGTTATTAGTTCTTCTCCACACCAGCTCGTAAGTTTCTGCAAGCCATTCGAGCACTTCACTGTGCACTCGAATATCCTCCAACCAATCTGCGGATTGTGTCGCCGAAGCCAATCTCTTCCCAACAGCACATCATAACCGTCGAGCGTCGTCGCCAGCATCGGCGCGCTGAAGCCGAAATTGTCACCACACTTCATGCAAACAGTTCGCACGCGATCGCGGATCGCCAGCGGGGTGTCGTTGACCAATCGGGCATCAATCTCGGGTAGACACCGCTCCAAGGGTAAGTTTTTTTTTTAGCCGTCAGTCGGTGAATCAGGTTGTGGCTCGCGCCACCGTCGATTTTTTTTTTTTTTTTTTTTTTTTTTTTTTTTTTTTTTTGCGTTAACCCATCCTTCTACAAGCACAGGGTGATCCATAGGTTCATCCCCGTTATTCGTCCGAACGCGGTCGATAGCATGTAATGGTACCACTCCCCGGTGGAGATGTTGTTTCTCGGGCGATGCAGCCGTGTCAGTAGGGGGCTCGTTTGCTACTGACGAGAGTCGTTTCGCGGATTATCCCCATCGTTGTTTTTCCCCTGCTTCCAGTCAGGGCAGTCAGCATATCGGTGACCCGGCTGGTGGCAATGAAAACACTGTCGCTTCCTGGGATCCTCGTCGTGCGCCACGATGCCGTTGATCGAGGGCCGTTGATCCTAGCCACGAAAACGATTTCCCTACCAGGATCCCGATTTCGCATTTTTTTTTATTGGCGTCGTACAGGTTGGCGATCACCATGGCTTCCAGGAATGTCGTTGGACGTCACATCCTCACTTCGTAGGGAACGTCGGATTTGAGCCCAATGATGAACCGGTTCTTTTTTTCAGCCTCTGATAGGTCGCACAATGCCTGAAATGATGACGCGTAATCCTGGATAGAGGTCAAGTAGCGTCAGGTGTCCAGCTTCGTGTGTGCGTTGTCTGAAGCTGATATGGGCTCGAAACGTTTACGCAAAGCTGTACCCCACGCTATCCACAGGCGAATCTTGGTCGATCCGAAAATTGATGTTACGTCCTGGGCAGCAGATTCTGAACTCCGAAAAAACCCCGAGTGTTCCCTGCCAAAGTCCTTGTCTCACTTAGCATTGATCGCCACTAATCCCATGCAAGCCCCCCCAATAGTGAAACAGCCAGCTTGATTTTTAAATGATCAATAGTAATCCTGACAGCATCAAAATAAAGCTCCATCGCAAAAGGCCAGCCCGTCATGGTGGTGTTTTTTTCCATGGGGTTAAAAGGGGGCAGCATTGGCGGCTTTACCGTGGCCACTGGTATAGTTGGTATGGCTACGGCTGCTGCAGAAATTGTTGCTGCTGCTTCAGAGTGGGCGGTGGCCATTGTCGCAGCTGCTGCTGCTGCCGTGGCACGTGCAGTGGCATTCGTTGCTGCTTCAGCTTCATCATCACGGCGCTCTTGCGACACTTCGCGTGCGATTTCGTCCAATCCCGTTTCGACACGTCCAGTGCTGGCTGAATCCTCTGGGGCGGGTGACTTCTGACGCGTATTCTCCTGCGCCTGGCGAAGTTCGGTAAATTCGGCGCGAAGCTTCTCGTTGTCGTTTAACACGACTTGCACGCGAGCGTCCATGGCGGCGAATACCGTCAACAACTCTTCAAACGGTGCTTGGTCCATGTGGCAGACACTACGCCAGGTGGGCAGAGAAATATCCGTAATTACTCATGCTCAGGTAAGAGTGCAAAGGGTATCGTAGTCGGGCAAATTAATTCGTCCAATTCGCGGCCGACTACTTTGCAGCTCAGTGAGCGAATCACTTTCCTCTCGAGAAAAGTTTTCCGCCAACGGAAACGGGTAGGTCAAGAAAGTAGCTATGAATACCAGATCTTATGAGTGTTTAACCAGAGTAGCGCGGAATCGAATGTCGAGATTCAGTACAACCGAATGTGATACAATGGAATGACGAAGCAAGATATAGGAACACCAGAGCAATCCTAGCCGCGTGATTGAACAGGTTCGGAGAAGGCATCCGAGGATGCGAAGCGCTTCGGAGTGACGCGGAATGGTTTGGTGCGACGTGTTCGGGCCGAAGCTAGGGCTGAAGTCCATGGCGTGTGGGGCCGGTGTACGCGTTGGCGGTGTAGCTCACTTAAGGAATGGAAAATTCCTAACACCCATGCTATTCCCTTTGCGGGTTGGCTGGCTTGGCGGGGGAGGTGGCATTTTTTTGTGCGAAAAATGGGTTCAAACCCCTGATATTGCACTTGCTCCTTTTTTCCTAGGTGAGGATGGATTATGTCAACAAATATATCTATATAGGCTAGCTAAGTTATATTTGTTACAGCCTTAGTTGGGTCAATTCTCGATAACCTAACATGGTATCAAAGCTAGGCACCGCCCTCTCCTCACACTTCCGCCCTAGCACACCCTAGCCTAGCGCGCCTCGCCCCCCTAGCTGCACGCCTTTGTGTTCGTCCTCTCCCCGCCCTCTCCTACTCGTTGCATAGCTCACGTGAGCCGCTGTCGGCCCGCGCCTCCTGGCGTCAGCTGCACTTACCGCCAGCTGTCAACTCCAGCACTAGTAGCAAGCTGCAAGCCACCAGCGCCAGCCGCCAGCAGCCGCCAGCCAGCTCGCCGTTGGCCTGCCAGCTAGCAGCCGCTAACAACCGCTAGCCAGCTCACCGCTGGCTCGCTGCACCTGCCGCTGCCGCCGCACTTGCTGCTGCTGCCGCTGCCATTGCAGCCGCCCCTCCCGCTACCACTACTACCGCTGCAGCCCTTGCGGCTGCTGCTCCTCTCCCTGCGGCCGCTGCTCCTCTCCCTGCGGCCGCTGCCGCTGCAGCCACCGCTGCTGCCACAGCTGCCGCTGCAGCTGCTATTGCCCCGGCTCCTCCCGTTGTTTCCACTACAACTGCATCCGCTGCTGCCGCTGCTCCTGCCATTGCAGCCGCTACTCCCGCCGCTCCTGCCACTGCTCCTACAGCTGCAGCCGTCACTACCGCTACGCTTGCAGCTGCCGCTGCTAGCCAGCAGCCGCGCCGTCACCACCAGACAGCTCACCGCTGGCCCGCCGCCATCACCGCCCCGCCGCAGCTAACTGCAGCCGCTCCCACCAGCTCCCACTGCAGCACTCATCACTGCTGCCCCTGTACCAGCTGCCGCTGCTGTCCCTGCTCCTGCGCCTCCGTCTTCACGGCCACAGCTGCCACCACAGCCACCTACATGGCATTGCCCAGAGTCTTCGCCCTGCGCTTGGATGGGGAGGGGCCGGCGGTCGGTTTCGCCGCCTGGCAGGAGGCAGTCCTCTTGCAGCTCACCATTCAGCGCGTCGACGATGAGCCCCTGGACGCCAAAGTCACTGGTGAGCTCCCTGCTGCCCCCACCCAGGTGCTCTTGCTGCTGATACGACATCTGCGCAGTAGGCTGTGCACGCGGCTGCTCTTATCACCTATTCTGTCTGGGCATCCCGCGATGCCACTGCTCATGTCGCCATCCCCAGGTGCCTGACGGTTGACGAGCACTCCCACTTTGTGGGTGCTGCGTCAGCCCGCGCCCTCTGGACGGCTATCCTTGCTAGGTACTCCACCCCGTTGTCTACCACTCTTGGTCGTCTCCTCCACCCCAACCTAACGTCCTTCACCACTGCAGCAGATTGCACCTCTGCTCTCTCGAGGCTCACTGGCGTGTGGCCTGTACTGAGGCCCAGCTGGCGCTCACCCGGCCCCCCTCTACGCCACTATCTACTTCCTTGTCACCCGCCTCCCTGACCGCCTTGCCCCTGCCCGCGACGCGCTCTCGTCGCCCATCTAAGCTCACCCTTGACCTCTTCTCTACCTCCCTGACTAAGGTAGAGGACCGCTACGCGCCATCGCTGGTTCCACCGGGGCGCCGGCGGTCCCTATATTTCAAGGAAGCGCTCCCTCCCAGGTGATTGTCCCTCCTCTCTCCGCCTCTATCGCCGAGACTGCAGCGGCTGCCTCTGTCCCAGGCCGCTCCTCTGGTGGCAAGGGCAAGGGAAGGGGGGACAAGGGCCGTGGGGGTCAGCAGCAGCTGGTGGAGGGGGTGCGGATGTAGACGAAGAGGGTAGTCAGACAAAGTCAGGGACTGCGCAGCAGCCGCAGCAACAGCAGTAGAAGCAAGAGCAGTTGCAGCAGTAGCAGCAGCAGTTGTCACAGCAGTAGTAGCTGCTGCTGCCGTGGGGCGCGCAGGGGCCACACCTCCGCCTGCTAATACCGCCGCCTCGACGACCTCTACCGCCGCCACTTCGGCCTGCTGGAGCAGGTGCCTCCTTGGCTTGCCTTGCTTCGTCGTGGGGTTCCTATATTTTATATGGATATTCAAATCGATCATGCCTTGTATTTTGTGTATGTTGATGACTCTAGAATTGCTGGTTCTTATTATCCTGCTGTTTGTAGCCTAGCAGCCACAGCTGTGTGTAGTTTGCCCTGTTGCGTCTGGCGTATTCTCCCCTGCTGCGTCAGGCGCAGGATCTGTTAGAGATTCTTCACGAGGCCCTGCCACGTCGGCCCTCTCCTTTATCTTAGACTCTAGCACGTCTCATTGCTTCTTTAGAGACAGTACTGCTCTCACCTGCTTCCTACACCTGTCCGTGTCACACTAGCAGACTCCTCTGCCACAGCTGTTTCACGTAGCACCACCACTCTCCCCTGTCCAGCTGTCCCCTTCGGCTCCCTCACCGGTCTGCAAATCCCCTC